CGCCCGCCTCGTTGTCAGCCGTCGACGGCCGCCCACTCAGAGATGGCAGAGCCGGACGATCCGCCCGCCCTCCCAGCGCAGGGCGCGCGCCGCCCCGGCGAGTCCCGGGCGCCGCGGGCAAAGTTCTGCGGGATCCGCCCCCCGCCGGTCCTGGCTCTGGGCGGGACCTTGGAGCTCCCAGGCTCTACAGGGCCCGCGGTGGAGAGCCCAGTGGGCTGGGCCACGTCACGGACCGCGGCGTAGGCTTGTGTAAGGGGCGTGGACTTTTGTCTTCAATGCTCAGAGGCTTTCAGCCTGGCGGGGCGATGGTGAAATTTGCATCAGAAATGCCTTTCCAGGGCGGCTCTTGCAGGGGTGGAGGAGGGAGTGCGCTGGAGCCTGGGAGGTCACTTAGGAAGTTGCAGTGATAATGGGAAAGGTGGTGGTGACCTGGAGCAGGGAGTAGGCGGTGGAGGTGGAGAGAAGAGGACCCCTTGTAGAGTGTTTGGAAGATGGAATATAGAGATTTCTGTGACAGATGCGGGAGGATGCAGAAGGAGGAAGCATCATGACTCCCACCTTCTGTCTTGAGCCACCGGTAGCTTAGCTGAGATGGGCCTGAAACAGGCTCGAGGGGGAACAGTAGGAGTTCAGTCTGGGTGTATCTAGCTGGAGGTGCCTGCAAGACCTCTAAGCGGTGTGCAGGAGACAGTGAGATGCGCTGGCATCTGGAAGAGAGCTGGGCTCTAGGTACGAGGTCAGGGAGTTCTGTGCACCTGAGTGGCCTCTACCTGGAGGACTGAGTGGGGTCACATTCCCCCAGCCTCCTTTCCTCCTCTTCAGTGCTGTAACCAACTAAATATTTGAAAAGATCAAACACTGAGATCTGTTTGTATTTTCTGTGTTGTGCCCTTATTGTTTCATTTAAAGGTTCGAAGAAAATAGTGTAAAGAAAATGACCACTTGAAAACTCTTCTTGGAGGATGTGATGGGCTACCAAGGTGTTAAGGAGCCCGGATGGACAATGAGGGAGTCCAAGTTCTAGACCCAGTTTCACCCACGATTCACTGTGTGGTTTTGGGCAAGTCACTCAGCCTTTTTGAGCCTGTTTGCTCGTAGGTGAAATGGGACAATAATAATGTCTCCCTGTGCCGTTGCAAAAGGCTAGTGAAGGAGTGCATGTGAAGGTTCCTAGGAGCTATAAAGGAAAAGACCATTACGTTAACCACGTTTAAAAAGTTAAACACATCAAAATATTATAAAAAAAGTCAGACTATAGTCTGAGGGGAAAAATTGGAGCATGTTTTAACTAACAGTAAATTTTCTTAATGTACAAGGTGCTCTTACAAATCATTAAGGCATTTTCAAACCACCCAACAGACAAAAAGAATGTGTCAGATATGAACAGGCACTTGGCCGAAAAATAAAGATGTGCTAACAAAGATGTGAAAGGATGCAGCACCACCCTCACAGTTAGGGAATTACAAATCCACACAAGGGGGCACTTAGTACACCTACCTGAGGGACGAAGCTGAAGAGGCTTCTTAATTCCCAGTGTGGTGGGTGTATGGAGAAACAGTTGTTTAGATACACTGTGGGTGAGAGTGTAAATTTATGTAATCGTTTGAGGGCAAAATAACGTATGAAAATTTTAATTTGCTTGTTTTTTGAAACAGCAATTCCTGCACAAAGATGTATGAGATAGATTTTGCAACTGGAAACAACCCATTATTTGTCCATAGATTAAACAAAGTTACAGGATATTCATCTAGTGGATTGTTATGTAGCTGTTAAAATAATGTGGCACCGAAGAAGGAAGGTGGGGCTGGAACAGATCAGAAATGCCAGTAGAGCCCAGGCGACCGGAAGTATGAGTTGTTATCAGTGAATTAGTCTAACCAAGAGCAATTCACATTCTATGAAGCAAATTAATGGTATTTCAAACTTAACTTTAAAAATTACTTAAAATTATTTAAATTCTTACCCCATCAAATAAAATGTTTTATATGTGCATTGACAGGGAATGATATCCATAATATATAAACTCAAAATATGTAAATCGAAGGACAACAGTTCTGTAGACAAGAAGGTCACTGCTCAAGTTAGATGGCCTGGGGTTCAAAATCCCAGCATCGCCACTTACCATCTATGAACTTGATAAGTTAGAGACTGTTCCAGACCTTTGCGACCTCATTTGGAAAATGAGAAAAATGGTAGTCTTAACTCGTAGGGTTGACATATGGGTTAAAGGGTTTAGTAAAGGAACAGCAACGAGAATTGCTTGGCATACAGTAAACATTTATACATAATATCCTATTGATAATATACATATCATATATCATGCATATAAATCTTGGGCGGGAAAGAGAAATTACTAGAGATGTGCTTGTATATGTTTTTATTTTTATGTCTACATATATGCTGTACATGTTTATATATGTATATGCTTAGAATAGTCCCTTCTAGAAAGGTATAAACATTATAGAATAAACTGTTAACAGTAGGTGGTAATGCCAAAGGACATTTCTTTTTCATTTCATATCATCATATACTGTTTAATATATTAATTACTAACATGTAGGCCTTAACTTTAAAAAGCATCATTAAGAAATTCCATGTAGAATGTGTCTGTAAAGCTGTAGCTCGAGACCCTCTCAGTCAGGAGCCTATTAGAATTTTGTTTGGGGTTAAAACACCACAAAAACAAAGCTGAGGGAAAGTAAGTCTTGCTGTAGAAAGTGACTTTTGGTAGACATCGACATTTCAAGAGATTTTTATGCTTATCCAAATGGAGCATGGGTTTAAAAAGTTTTCTAGCACTGTAAGAGACTAATCTCTGCTGCCAGAAAAAGGCAAGTCCTGGGCATATATGAAACATTTGGAGAAGCAGACTGTTTGTCCCTGAGGCCTGTGTACACTGGCAGCGGGCGTGGGTGAGGTGGGGACAGCCGCGGGCAGGCCTCTGCTCTGTTTTGCCTCTGGAAGCCGGGACAGGGCAGGGTGAGCAGCTGCATGGAGCCAGTGGAGGGTGGGAGCTGCCCACACAGCTGCTCGGCC